CGACGTTATACCGACGTTATACCGACAGTATCGATACATTTGTTCACGACGACGATCGGCCGTCATATTCGAAGCTGTCGCTCACGCTGTCGCGCGATCGGTCTATACGCGCTCTCATTGGTCAGTGTTTTTTATTAATAATTCAAAAACTAAGCTTTAACCAGCATTTCGGTAAAGAAAAAAGTTGTTCAGAATCACTCCAGCTACCACCCCCTAAAATTATGCCCACCAGTAGCCGAACAACCTGTAGATATTATGTATTGTTTTGTTTCTGTCATGTTCAGTTCGAACACGTGCGTAATAAGAGTTATTGATTATAAAAGTAAAACTTCTAAAAACAATTAATAACAGACGATTACAGTAAATTCGCCAAAATATATTGTATAAAATCGAAAACCGACACTTATGACTGTTTTGTCGATTACGTAAATATATTTGAAAATTCAACAAAGAAAAGTATTAAAAATTTAGTGTGCGATAATGGTAAAGAATACATGAATAGCAGAACTTTTGAATTTATAAAACAAAAAGTCATAAGGATGATTCCTTGTCCACCATACAGGGTGTCTCGCAAGCAGTGTTGGTCTCTGAAATGGGGGATAACCGACATGATTCTGACCCCACAAATGGAGTTTGAAGATACGTTTTTGAATTATTAAACAAAAACTGGACGCGTGATAATCCTACGCGTAGTAATCCAACGCGTACTAATACAGCGGGTGGGTATCCAGCGCGTAGTAATTTAGTGCGAGCATATTTTACACGTAGTAATCCAATGCGTAATAATGCAACACGTGGTAATTGTAAGCGTAGGAATATAATGCGTGGTAATCTAACGCGTAGTAATCCAGCATGTGGATATCCAACGTGTAGTAATCCAACGCGTGGATATTCGACGCGTAGTAGTCCAACGCGTAGTAATCCAACACGTAATAATCCTCGCGCTCTGATTGGTCTGCGTTTTTGCTTAATAATTCAAAAACGAAGCTTCAAACCCAATTTTTGCAAGGGGAAATCTTAGTCAGAATGACGTCATCTACCACCCAGTTCTGGGTGATACACTAGTTGTGAGATACCCTGTATACAGTCGTACAATTTTTTTAAATTTAAAGTCTTGTCTATTACATTATGATAACGATCAATTATTGTTTAATGCACCTGAGTTATAAATAACAATTTTATGTCTTTTATTATTTTCGTTTGATTGACTTATTCAAGCAGAATAATAGATTTAAAAGTACATCTAAAAAAGTGTTGAAGTCTTACCTGGAAAATCATTATTCCAATTTTCAAGTTCAGCCAAACATTCTTTCGAGGTAAGTGATAAATGAATAAGCGCATCATAAAAGACCTCATAGTTGTTGGATTCACCTTCTAGTCCTCTTAGCATTAACTTGTACATTGCTTTCATCAGTTGCAGACATTCGAAGTGATTAAGGTTCTGTGATAAATGTACAAGTTCGGTCTTGTCAAAGTAAGCGATACATCGTACCAGAAAATTTTCCTGAAGCAGCAAAATATTTCCTTTGTTTTTAACTGTCTAATAATTTAGTATATGTACGTTACGACGCAACACAATTATGAAGAATTTAATTAATAATACAGTGAATAGGTAGACAATAAACTGTAACTTGGTACAAAAGAACATCTTTTTTACCTTCATACAATTTTGATAATAAATCATCTACCTATTACTGATAGGTATGTAACATACTGCTGATATACTTTCAAATTAATAGCTTCTCAGAATAGCTCACCTTATTTTTGGCAAAGAAGGAAATCAAAATGTAAATCGTACAGGTAAGCTTCATTCTAACCTGACCAACATTACAATGCAGAAACGATAAAGTATTCGACACATATAAAATCGACAGTCGCTTAAATTTTATCGACTATCAAATACTGTGATATATTCTTTGAGTTATAGCATAGTTCGGTGTATTACGTAGTTCAGTGTGTAGAAATATAAAGTTTTTAGAAAGTTCGTAATCTAAATAAACGTACTAAGTAAGGTATTGGCGCAAAATAGAAATTCAAAACGCGGATTTAAATACAATTGCGCCTTAAGAATAAATCAAGAAAAGAATAGATATTTTAACGAATTATATATTTTCCAAATGCGTGCATTAAGTATTAAGGTAAGTAAGACCTAAAATAGTTCTATTCTTAAGTTTTAATTACAACAATTATTAAACTTTCTTATTCACAAAGCTCTAATCAGAAAATAAAAGTAACAATATGTTATTTACATTATAGGGAATTATTTGGATTTGTAAATTACAAATGAAGAATTATTCTTGAATGTGACTTCAAGTTTCATGTAATCAAGATAATACAGAACTACATCAGTTCGTTGGAACTCTCGATGAAATTAAGAAATATTATCCAAAATGCATTGCTCCTTCTTTTGTTACATCTTAATGTTACTTTCCTTGAAGTACATCTGTTTTTACATATAATATTTATCAATAAGAGTCGACAACTCGAAGGTTAAGAAGAATTTGAAATTTTTCAGAAATATAGTTCAGGTGATGCTAATAATATTATTTCTTGTTTCGACAACGGAACGGTCTTTGAAATCAAATTATTTATTGGAAGAAATTATAATACTTTATGTTATCATAAATATCGAATTGATTCGATCTTTTAGCGTTGATGTCAGGTGACTCTGTTGATGACTGTTTGAAAGAAAAAATATTGTATTGCTTCTGAAATTAAGAGCAGCACGAGTCACAATTTTGTCGACTTTGAACTTATAGAATCAATAATCTGTGTCTAATATTTGCGTGTTAACGTCGAATCCTTCATAAAGGAGATATACGTGTCGGAGGTCGTTGCATTCAAGGACTTTGACCCATTTTGAACGATACTTAACAGTAATTACATGATTCATTGACTTAATTAATCGTATTCAAATCTTTTAGAATTGATGAATTCTTTATGTAAGGTGTAGTGGGGTAAGTGCAGACTGGTTTTTGCAAAGTTGGTATTTGAACATAAGTATTTTCAGTCTGCTAAGTAAATACTTAACGCTGTTGATATCGAACGCTTTACACAATTACTACTATTTAATTAATATTAATTAGGACTTTAATTTTTCTTGTACATTTTGATTTTGATAGGAAATTATTTAAAATGTCAACTACTCTGCACTTTCCCCAAAAATGGGGTAAGAGCGTAACTTGAAGTTAAATACTTTGAAACTTTATTTCATGTGCAATGGGGCAAGAGCAGAATTATTAACAAAACTGCTATAAAATACTTTTTACTGCATTATGCAAGCACTCTATACTGCAAACAAGTAACTCTTAACTGAAATATAAAAGGGGATATAGGGGATTTATATACTAAATGGAGAAATTCTGCTCATATTGTAATAAAAATAGCCTGTATGCACACTTGCCCCGTTCACGAACTTACCCCATTTCACCTTATATTTTTCTTTATTCCGCTGCAGTGAAAACACATAATGCAGTCGATACTTTAGGGGCTAAATGTGTATTTGTGTTATTTAAAACTAAAAATTCATTCAAGCTGCGAGATCCACCAATTTTTGATAAAATTGAGACACGCTCTCATTTCGTTTTTGGTGTACGCTATTTAATTCTTTGAATATTTGATGTATTTCATCTTGATATAAGCGCATCAGAAGTCCAAAAATTTTACTGCAAGCAGTTAAACCGCATATCAATCTGCCCCTACCTTTTTCAACACTGCTACATATCTTTTTTTTCTTTTTTTTTTTATTTACGGAAGCGAGAAATCTTTGATAGACACCTGGGAAGATGGCCCACGTACGTACATGTAAAACATCCAGTTCCAACGTTGCATGACGTCATAATTTCACTTCTAGAGTTATTTTGTTATAGTAATGTAATGTAATTTTATTACGAACTATCCATGAACTACATTTCTACAAATTTATAAATCACGTTAAATTTTCGAGTTGTCGAACTTATTTGCTTGAAATACTTACATAACTTGTTAGAATTTGACCAATTACGATTTGAACTAAACTTAGAAAATGATTCAAAATTTTATGATACCATAATTAAGACGAATTAGTCAAATATATAATATAATTAAATGTAAATGTAATTAGATACGTATTTTAATCAGTTTTATTTGTAATTATTCTTCGCGAATCTGTAAAAGAACAAAATTGTAGTTACAATTTTATTAAAAGCCGCAGTCATATGAAATTTTACATTGAAAATATAATTTTACTGTCTGAATATATTATGAATAATCAATAATGGAATGTTACTGTATTTCTTGTCTTTTTCGAATCCATATAGATGACTGAAATAGATGTACCACAGTTACAGCTGTTATCGGCAAATTTGAAACCCGAGGAGTGTGTAAAACTCGTATTTTTGGATTCCCACCGTAAGTAACCCTTAATCTCATAATGTTTGTAAAATTTTATATAGGGTGTCTCACAACTAATGTAGGTCCCGAAAATGAGTGGTAGGGAACGTAATTCTGAACAACATTTCCCTTTGTAAAAATGGGGTTTGAAGCTTTGTTTTTGAATTATTAAGGAAAAACACAGACCAATCACAGCACGAGAATTACGCGCGCCCAGACGGGAAAGCGACAGCTTCGAGCCTGACGGCCAAATATGATCATGATCAAGCGCCTATACGCCTCAGGACATTTACGCCTTTACGCCACTGTCACTTCTAATTGGTATTTGTAACCGTAATATTCTGTTACCATTGTTCACTAATTTCCTAATACAACAACTACATATAAAGAATACGGATGAAAATGCGTGAACAATTCTTCATAAATAATTTTATCGACTTTTGTTTGTTTTATGATTTTTTGACTTAACGGTCTGAACGACCGAAGACAATGTCCAGAACTCTCACATTCCTTAGGCTTGGCATATTTGGAGTCACGATCGGTAGTTTAGGACAGAACTACTCATCGCCACTAGACGGCGCATAGAATCGAGACCTAGACTTTCTCGCTAGTACTCCAAGAGCCTTCCTATTCATATATATAGTTCCTGTCCATCCCTTCCTCACATCCCCGCGTCTAAGGCAAGGGCCTGCTAGAACGCCTTACTGATGAGTCCACTAGCAGGCCCCGGACGAAACGTTCTCCCTCTCCTTTACTTTTCCTAGCTCCCTACCATAGCTAGCCGAACCGCCAAACTTTAAACAGAAAAAATCACAGAAGTTATTTTCCGATAATTGTTCATGCGTCTTTGTTTGCTTATCCACCGTTATTACATTAGGAAAATAGTGAAAAGTGGCAACAGGGTGTTACAGTGAAAATGATAATAAAAAATGATAGTGAAGTGAACTGGCTGTTGCATCAGATAATGTGAGGTGTATATTATTTTCATGAACAATCACAACTGTTGGAACGATCTAGTTAGAAGGGCCCATTTTCAACCAAGCAGGATTATTTTCAAATAATGGTCGAGTTTTATTCTAAAGGTTTATAAATTTTGTGTAAATTTAAAATTACAGAAATTTCATTTACTCGATTTTTGTTAATTACACATAACTAATTATGTTCCTTACTCATAACAAACGCACAAGCGAATATTATTTGTAACTATTCTGTTCATTATTTAACTGAGTTTTGACGTAGGGGCTTCTTATTAAACGCTTAGATAGTTCTGGCGTCTAGACACTTGATCATGATCGCGCTATGCTATACAATTCAACAGCGAACAATTCAAAAGCGAAATTTTAAACTTCATTTATGCAAAGAGAAATCTTGTTCAGAATGACGTCTTGTACCACCCATTTGCGAGAGTTGTGAGACACCCTGTACAAATCACTACCTTCAGAATAACGCTTAGACAGCAACAAATCAATCTCAATACACTCGTATTGTTATTATCTATAAATATTGCTTCAAACTTGTCAAGTGTGTTATATTCTGTAATCGAATTTGCATTACTATGTTTTTAAATGGTTGATTCTTTTCATTAAGTGCTAATGTGTCCCATTAAGTAGTAACAGGAATATTACTACTTTTTTTTTTTAAATTGACATTGCAGCATAATAGGCTCTAGAAATACGCTAATAGATCTTGCAATGATTCAAAATAAAAATAAACGTAATTTATAACAGCTCAATTATCAGATGTACAAATACGGTGGTTAACACGAGAACAAAGTTGTTTTCGAAGACTTGTGAAGTGGATTTGTCACTTAAGAACAGTTACAAGAAATACATATACAATTGTAAACGACTTTCTTGAACGAATTGGAAGAGGAGATTTGATTGCATGTCTTGCTGAATTCAACACGAAAAGTTCAAAACCACGGAAAGTGATTCGCAACGTTCAGCCAGATGATGAAGAGTACGTTTTTAATAGTTGTGCTGTCTAATAGTAGTAAAATCAAATGTTCCGTAGAACTTGTAGCATTTAGTATTATTAGAGTTTGAAAGTTACGTTTAGAAAGGACAAACTCAATTTTTTAACATAACTATAAAATAGCATGATATTTAAATTACAAATTTCTATATTTTATCTCTATTTCCATAGAGTATTCGCAGACAGTTTACAGTAATTGTTTGCGAATTGGAATGAACCTTAAAATTAAGTTCTAAATGAACTTAACGAAGAGTAGGTAACAGATCACAATCTATTATAGGCGACGCATAGTGGCGAAAAACGGCGAAAACGCAGAGAAAACTAATATCTTCGATTCTGAGATAAATTATTTAAATGACTTTTTGTAAGATGATTGTGTTAGTGTTACAAATTAATTTTTTGTTTTGAAAATCAAATTTTTATTTGTTAGTTAACTAATACGGTTAGTTAACTAGTACGTATGAATTTTTATTTCGGAAACTATCTATCGAAATCAGTTAAATCTTTTTTCATTTTAATCATGAATGTTTGAACTATCAAAATAATATTTCTTTTCATTGAAAAATTAATTTTTTAATATCACAAATTGTAAATAAATTGTTATTTTTGAAATCTTCGTATAAAGTTTAAAGTTTAAATACCTAATATGTAATATGTATATGGATATTTATCTTGAAATCTTGCCTACAAAACGAGACGACATTTGAAAAACGCCCGAAACCGCTGTTGCCGCGTATAATAATAAGGCGCGCGTGTAAACAAAAATGTGAATAACTCAGAAAATCGCAAATAACCGCAAGATATTGTTACTGATTCTTATTCGAGAAGCTCCCAGCCTTCATTTAAGCCTATTTGATAGGTGGACTGAGGTGGAATTCACAACTTTTCCCTTACATAAACGTTAAATATGTCTATGGTTTATATCTCTTTCCATAGAAGAGATGTTAAAAATAAACATTTTGTTGTGCAATTTACATAATTATAATACTAAAGTATCTTATAAAAAGCTAATAATACTGGATGAACATAATATTTAAAAAATAATGAACTATATTGTCAAACTTTGACCGAAAAATTGACTTCAAGAAATGTTCAACTTTGGAGGCTCATATCTTCGAAATGGCAATAATGAAATCATTTAAAATGCGAGAACATTATGCACAGATTCCTTATAAACTAGTTCCACTAAACGGATTTCAAGAATTACGAATTTCATTTTTTGATTTTTGCCCAGATTTTCGCCGTTTTTCGCCACTGTGCGACGCACGCATATTACCTAAAAATGTATATTTATAATTTTTCAGAGACTACGAAGATAATCAAGCAGTAACACCCAAACCGAAAGAACCAAAAGTAACCAAACCAATTACTCCATATTCAAATCAGACCATCGATAAAATCAGTGGTAATGAATCATATGTTAATTATTCGTTAATTTTCCCTCTAAATAATCTTTTGATAAATTACAGGACAAACTGCAATCAGAATATCGCTAAAAACTGCAGGAATCATTCTTCTATCAACTATATCTCTAACTTGTTTCTGCACTCTGTTCATAAGAAATAGATTAGCAAATTTGTTTAATAAAGTACGAAGAAAAAAAAAGAAAAGGTGATTAGAATATTTGTAATTGAAACATTATTTCAAATAAGATGCTTATCAATATTAATGCACCGCTTTTTCTTCAGTAAATTAATGCCGTTCGAAACGGACAATATAGCAGATGTATCTAGAAGTTATTATGTAAGAAAACCACGTTTAAAAAGGAAAAGAGCACCTTCATACGAAATGGTACATACAGCTACGCAAAATGAGGTAGCTCCTGTGCCCAGAGAGCCGGAGGAAGCAGCACCAACAGGTTGCTACAAGTGTTACAAGAAGAAGAGAAAGAAAAGTGCGAAAAGAGCTTACAGATGAACAGTGTAGTTTAATGAATAACAATATACAGAATGCCGCACAACTAGCATGACTCCCGGAAATGAATGGTAGTGCTCGGGATTCTGAACAACTTTTCCCTCTGCAAAAATAAGGTCTGAAGCTTCCTTTTCGAATTATTGAGGAAAACACGGACCAATCAGAACGTGTCTTACTTGGACGTCGACCGATTGTACGCGTCCCGATTCGACGCGTTCTAATTTGAAGCGATACCGACTGGACGCGTTCCAATTCGAAGCGTATAGGTTAGGTTAGGCTAGGTCCAATCGGCACTGCTGCAATTAGGACCGCGTTCAATCGGTACCGCTTCGAATTGAAACGCGTTGAATCGGGATCGTCCAAACGGTCGACGTCCAAGTGGGCATCACTCATTTACTTTACGCTCATGCTCAGACGTCAAGATCAAAGCCATTGCTTTCACATCTGAGTGCGTGCAATTCTAGCGCTCTGATTGGTCCGTGCTTTTGCTCAATAATTCAAAAACGAAGCTTCAGACCTTATTTTTGCAATGGGAAAGGTTGTTCAAAATCATATTCTCTACCAGCCATTTCCGGAAGTTGCACTAGGTGTGAGACACCTTGTATAGATTTTTTAGAATTGACACGTGCTGCTTCCATTCTTGTAACACGTATTCAATAACATTAATAATTTTATAAAAGAGCAAAAGTCTCATTTTCTATCGCATACAAAATTATTGTCACCTTAAACTGTTTTAATTCAAATATCAAATAAAGATTATGTAAAGTTATACACAATGAAAATGTTCCACGCACTTAAATAAAAAAGTTTTATTATTACATTAGAATTATTACATAAATATATAGTAATCATTCTATACAAAAAATGTTCTGTTTATCATTGGAAACACACGAAACCCGCTCGGCAGAGAAGTATAATTTGTTTCGGGTATATCTGTGAGACAATACCAATGCAAATATAAGACTTTTTTTACTTTTTATTTTGTCGTTATCAAACTTTTACCAATAGATTCTTCTCATTCTCCAAATTCCAATGAGACTAAATACGATATAATTCGGACTATACAGTGGATATTCTATTGTAACGCGAGCGTACTTGTTATCATCCTGAATATAGTCAGTGTAGTATGGCGACACGACCGTGAGAATATTTACAGAGCGCATCTGTACTTTGTTATATCGATGACCATAAATTAAGAGCGAAATTTAAACTATCTGAGCGTGCGATCATGTACAATAGACAAAGCTTATATTGTTAAAGCCACTCGACGTGGGTGTTCGTGCTAGGAAAAGTTTGGGAATCCAGAGAATAAACATAGCTTCATTCTGAATGTTTGTAGAGATTAATTTATTAGGGACCGTATCGAATTCGTTGTTTTTGACTAACAAGGGACATCCCCCAATTGATACACGCCGATTTTGATGAAATTTTTATAT